ACTTACAATAATATTACAATCACAAATCAAAACATACAAAAAATTTTAAAATTTTTAATTGAAAAAATATACATTAAATTTTCTTTGAATTTTTTTATTTGAATTGATAATTATTTGGGTAAAGTACACAAATGGTCCCCCCGCTCTAGAGCATTTCTTTATTAAGTCCCTCAACTATTGAAAATTATAAAATGATCATCCGACATTAGAATGTTACTTTATTGAGTCCCTCGACTATTAAAAGTTACAAAATGGTCACCCGACTATTCATTATGTTCTAAACCCGTCATTTTCTGTTAAAAAATTGATGATATTCTGAGCTAAACGTTAACCTGCTGATTGTGATATGATAAAACCTGATCCTAGAATCTCAAACGACTATCATATCTCAGTCATTATGTTAACGTCCAACTTAAACAACTATCATTTTTAATGAAAAAAGACGAGTTTGGAACATAATGAATAGTCAGATGATTACTTTGTAATTTTTAATAGTCAAGGGACTTAATAAAGTAACACTCTATAATTAGAGGACCAATTTATAACTTTTAATAGTTGAGGGACCTAATAAAGTAATACCCTATAGTCAGATGACCATTTCTCTTTAAATTTGGATTATCATGTTCAGGTCTATTTCGAGTCTCAGTTCTGGATGAAAATTGGAACCCGAAGTTTGTGGTTATTGTTGCAGATGAGTTGTTAATGTGGAGAGAAAAATATTTTATTAGTATCATAATTAAATTTTAAAATATTTTATAATTAAAATTAAAAGAAATGTAATATTATATATAATTTTATCAAAATAATAATGATTGAATGATAAAAATAGAAACCAATGAATAGAAAAAATATTAAATATAAAGTTATAGACACTAATTTTTGTATGGACCATATGAGCATTTATTTTTCTAAAATTTTGGACCTTTGATTAAATCATTGGAATGGAATCTTTTCATAATTTTTCAAATCCGAGATTTTGTATCCAATTGTTTTTTAAATAATTGATGTAACACCTTAGACCAGTACGATATAATCGATCGATTTAATGTGCTACACGGAACCACCGAAGTGACTAACTAACTTATTCTTACTTCCTTTTACTTTAAAATGACCATTATAACAACCAACCATAAAATAACTGAAATATATAAAAAATCTTTACACCGAGGAGCTTCAAAATAAATATTTACACTTTAAAATAATACTAACCACCCTACTAAAACTACGACTCAACTGAACAATAAAGTTTACAAATATACATGCCCTTTATAAATGTTGAGACGTACTCTGAATATGCATTGGTCTGAACTGGACCTTGGTCTATCTACTGCTTCTAACTTGCTAGTTTTACTAACATGCCCACGGAAACATCCATTAGCTCAGCGCCACACTAATATCTAAAACATACTAATTGCATATCACTGAAAGGTTTAAGCTATCAAGTCTACTGATCTGATCTACTTAGTGAGTAAATTTGTATACGTACTCCCTATGCTATGGTAGACATCATGGTGCGACTGAGGGATTATTGCATCTCGGAGCTCACACACCCCTCTAGTCTACCGAGGATATGGCCCCCAGAGTTCTGCATCGGACACCATACCCCTGACTAACCCACCCCTTGCGAGTGTCAAGCCTCGGTTTTAGTTAGTTGGCTTTAAGGGCCTTGCACCCTACCTAAGGATATATATGGATTGCATCTATACTTTCGACTCACTGAAATAAAGGAACTCGGGTGTCTAAATCGTTTCCCGAGCATCGAAAAAGACTAGTCTTATTTGCTACTACTTTATTTTCGTTTCTAAGTTTGATTAAACATTTTTAATATTGTTTTCACTTGTATTCTTATTAGGGAGGAATTATGATCTTTTGGGAAACCTCACTTACCTCTATACTTTCTCTTGACTTAAAGCCCATTTCTCAACCTTGGTATCGAAACTGACCTTACAATATCGATACCTTTGCTTGCCTCTACACTTTCAAACCATATCCTTGGTATCAATACTGACGTTACAGTATCGATACTCTCTCTGCAGTATCAATATCCTCCCCAAGGTATCGATGCCCCTACAACTATTCCATCAATTGGGACCCAACTTAAAACACCTTCTATAACACTTATTCTAGTGTTTTACGCATTTTTGATCCCATTTATGGTCATACTATGGGTCTAGGGCCTCCGAACAACGTTTTTTTGACATTTTGGATAGGGGCTTCGAAACCTCTGAAGGGGGTTTCGAAACCTCTATGATAGAATGTCATTATAGATAACGGTTTTTGAAATCAACCAGAGGTTTCGAAACCTATACTATAGAATTCAATTTTTCACCCAAGAAAACTCTCTAAAACACTATAAAAACCTTTCCAAAGTCCCCAAACTCCTACCTTGAGGTTTCACATTTATTATAAAGTCTTATGTGATATTAAGGGAGCATGAATAAGGCTTAGAAACATGTTAAAAAAATCAAACATGAAATCTACCATGAAAATCTACTAAACATGTTCAAACTAAACTTTCAAGATAAATTTCTTTTTAATGATTCTACAAATGGTATGAGAAAGTTATAAGTGTGTTACCTGGTTGCTTGAGCTGCTAAAACCTCTCTCAAAATCAACTAGGAATACACATTTCCTTTACCCTTGGCTTTTGAATTCTCTTCAACCTCTTCTACTTGGTTTCTTCAATCTAGGTTTGGGTTTCCTTAAGGATTGATCCTTTTATGGGAGGAAGAAGGAAGAAAGGATTAAGAGTATAAGATGATATTTTGGGTATGATTTCACGTTGAAAAATCTAGATTTAAAAGGGTTTTTATTTCTTAAAACAAGCTATGAGTAAACTACCCTTTTGGTCCCTCTCACTTACAACCCACTTTAAAGAACATCACCTACCTTAAACTATTGGGCCAACTCAAGCCCAACACCCTTTTTTAATTGGTCCAAACTATTCTAGAAGGTCTAATGGGCTCATTTATGGTCTCGGGTTGACCCAAACTATTGACCCATAATTCAGAATAATAGTGGAATAGCGGTCCGCTCTTGCCGCGATTGGCCACAATCCATTAAATTGCGACCGCGATCCGTCGCTATTGGTGTGATCCCGCTTCACACCGTTATTAAAACTTCATAGTTATACATATTTAAGTGAGAGTAATACTAAGATGAGTGACTTCTTAAGATGTCATCGTGTTACACCCCTCATTTAAGCAACCAAAAAAAAGTTCTCAAAGAAAGATTAGTAATTGATATAGGTTTTTTACGACCAAATTTTTATGATAATGTTACAGAAAAAATTTACTCGAATATTTATTTTTGTTTTTATGAGATCTTATAGATTTATCCCTTAGAAGTTTACTCTTTTTAATACATATGTGTTTGTCTTTGTTTGATCGGTTAGTCAAACTACTCATTTTTGTTTTCTCATATTTCCTTAGATCATGGATTTTAGACCTACTAGACAAGCTCCCTTATCTTCTCTTAAAATCCTATTTTCTCTTCGTAAAAATTAGATTTAGAATTTATAAAAAAGAAAACATTACATTACTTCAATAACTTATAGATGAGCACATTTCCTACATAGATTTTTTTTTATTTTTTTTATTAATTTGGAGTAAGTATAAGGTAATATCTGTTCAAAGATAACTCTTAACCACTTGACATTGAACGCTAACATCCCTAGCATTCTTAGTGCTTAATCCTGCGTCACATCATTATTTTCCGCGATAGCGGTTTCGGACACCGTCGAGACCGCGATATAACGGTCGCGACACATCTATTCGACCGCTTTTTGAAACCCTGGCTTCAGGTCATGGTAAAACAAAAAAGGGAAAACAACTCAAAGTGGTTAACTAAGGGAAAAACAAATGGGTAGGCGTTTTTTTGAGGTATGAAAAATGAGTTAATCATAACTTCTCATATCATTTCAAAGCATCAAATCCAAAATGTAATCTGAACATGTATTCACAAGCAAGCTCTAGAATATAAATACAAAAAATAAATACATACATTATTATAAAATTAAGTTAACTATTTATATAAAATAATTATTATAAAACCATTATGGCATTCATATTATTTTCTCTCAACTCAGAAAATAAATCCAATGTGACTCTTTGACCAACGTTTTTTCATCTTTGACCGTTATGGTGCTGATGTTATAGTTTGCGGTGCTTACATGGCAGTCAAGGATGACAAATTAGCGTGGGGATGACATGTCACATAAGCATCGTGGACCTCTAGGTCAACACCGTGAAATGACATGCCAATACTGTAACGGTTAACGACGAAAAACGTTGGTCAAAGATTCACATTGGGTATATTTTTTAAGTTAGAGGGTCACATTGAAATAAGATATAGTACGAAGTCCACATTGATTATTTTTTTTTATGAATTTTGATTCTTTTTGCCTAAAATTAATTTTGCTAGTAGAGTAAAATTGATCGGAGGCCATAAGATTGTCGATTAATACTTGAAAGAAACTAGAACAATTACAAATGCCACATATTCTAAACTTTGCAACTCAATATAACGTAAGGTATTGATTTTGTTTTTCTAAATAGAACGTAAAGTTTATAACTTAAATAATCTCCACGTCATTTTATCGCTCTCTCAAAGAATAAGAGAATCAACTTTAAATTTAATTTGCTATAATACATTAGTAATATTGTTATGTTTGTTAAGAAGACTCAATTTCCTCGTCGTTAAAATTAAGAGGAATCTGAATCATTAAGTGTCTCTAGTTAAAGAGAGTTTTATTCTTTTTAGAAGTTTGGAGTTCGAGTAATTGCATTTGTAGGGTGGTAAAATGACGGAAAACAAGGAAGAGTGTATATTCTTTACCATATTTTCAAGAAGTTGTATAGAAAACCGTAGGAAAACCATGGTAAACTTCAACACACAATCTCATTTAGAGTTGAAACAGAAAGAGAGAAAAATAGAGTTAGAGATGGGGTCTCGGAACTTTGGGCACAAGCACCCGATGGTGTTCCACGAGGAGAGGAGCAATGAAACCAAAGAAGCTAATTGCGGCAGATGTGGAGAGGAGGTGTCCGGTCCATGCTTCAGCTGTGCCGAATGTGGATTTTCACTCCACAAGAGATGTGCGGAGGCACCTTCACAGTTCCATCACCCTTTCCATCGCCAACACCCTCTCGTTCTTCGATCAAAACACCCATACAAGGGAGGACGTATTTGCAAATTTTGCGATGAAAGCTGTGAGTTGTTTGTTTATCATTGTTCTTGTGGTTTAGACTTGCATATCAAATGCGCTTTATTTACCCTGAGCATAGCCGAAAAGAAAACCTGAAGAGCTTAAAAACATAGCCACCGTTGATCCACCAGTGGTCCCGGGAGAGGGTGACAAATCACTTGAAAACTGTGTGTTTTGGGTGTCGGGAACCTTTAGGAGAGTCTACATACTTTTCTATTGATTGTGGATTCAACCTACACAAGAAATGTGCCCAACTACCCCACGAAATCAGCCATCCCTTTCAAAAACAACACCCCCTTGTTCTACAGTTTAATGGTGAACGTTCCTCCTGTACCATATGCCAACAGACACGACGTAGGGGATTTCTTTATTGTTGTTCACCGTGTAAGTTTGCGGTTCACATTAAATGTGCCGAGTTACCTTGTAAAATCAGTAACCCCTCACATCGTAGACACCCTCTTGTTTTACAGTCCAACCACGAAAATATACCTTGCAAGGCATGTCGAGAAACCAAAAATGAGAAATTTGTTTATTCTTGTTCACTTTGTAAGTTTGCTCTTCATATCAAGATCGCAACACCACCACCTTTCATTAAAGGAAAATACCATGAACACCCGTTCACCCTGTTCTGGAAACAAGCCTCGTTCATCTGCGATGCATGTGGCCTTGAAGGAAATTCTGTTTCCTATACATGCTCTGCATGCAACTTTGTAATCCATCCAAAATGTGCTTCAATACCACCTATAATAAAAGTCCCACGCCATGATCACCCCATTTTTCACAACTATTTCCTCTCCGGGAACGAGTTAAAGAATCGGGATTGCAAGTTTTGCGACACCGAGGTTAATATAGACTATGGGTGTTATTATTGCTCAGATGATGAGGGACTTGATGATGATTTGACATCCATTAATCCCATCACTTGTTTCATTGAGCAAAATGAGACTGGAGAAATGATAAGAATAAAACATTTCAGTCATGCACATGATCTGATATTAAGTGACAATTTCACGGATAATGATAAGACCTGTGATGGTTGCATGCTACAAATCTTGACCTCATTTTACTATTGTTCCTCGTATTGTGACTTCTATCTTCACAAAAGTTGTGCTGAATCACTCAGGAAGAAGTTGCGTTGGTTTCATGCACATCTACAAGGACTTATCCTTATTGTCGGCTACATTTTCAAATGCAACTTATGCGATTGTGAGAGCAGCGGCTTTGCTTATAAATGTGAAGTATGTAATGAGCATTTTTTCCTTCCAAGTGTGGTTGATAGAGATTATAGAATCAAACATCCAGCACATGAACACCCTCTCTTCTTCTTAGAAAAGGTCCATGGGAATTGCAAAGCCTGCGGTGAATCATGGGTAAACCTACATAGATGCAAGCGTTGTGATTTCAATCTGGACTTTTCTTGTCAATCATTGCCGCTTACAGTTCGAGACAGGCGTGATGAACATCCACTCGCACTCACGTACCAGGAAGGCAATGATTATTCAGAATATCTTTACTGTGACATCTGTGAGAAAGAAAGAGACCCAAATCACTGGTTTTATCGTTGTGAAACTTGTGATTTATCTGCTCATCTCAAATGTGTTCCTCAAAGCCGTCTGTTGATCAAACCTGGAAGTAAGTTCAAAGCAGAAGGCCTCCACACACATCCTCCTCCTCCTCTTCCCATATTTATTATGAGTGTGTTGATCAAACCTGGCAGCATGTTCAAAGAAGAAGTTCACCACCAACATCCTCTTACTTTTGTACGCAAGCCTCATTGTTATCTGTCATGTCGCATATGCAGTAAGCTCTGTGAAGATTTGGCTCTCGAATGTGCAGACTCTACATGCAATTATACTGTCAATTGGGAATGTGTGAAGCCTGCTGACTTCGGCAGAGCAATAGACCAGTTGCGCTTCACAGAACTCAAACAGATTGTTAAAGTTGGAGGAAAACAAGATTATCAAAAACAAGGTATGCTCATTTGCTAATTACCCCCGTAAATATTTTCTACTTCGAATTAATTTGGTTTTTTGTTTCATTTTTTGTAAGGTTCAATGGGGATGGATCAAAGTAGCCGATTCAAATCTTGCAGGGATGTGAAAGCTTGGTTCTGTTTGATTGATGGTGTTATTGTGTTTCTATTTTCATTGTCTGAAAAATAAAATGTGTATGGGTGTTTTGATCGAAGAACAAGATGGTGTTGGCGATGGAAAGGGTGATGGAACTGTGAAGGTGCCTCCGCACATCTCTTGTGGAGTGAAAATCCACATTCGGCACAGCTGAAGCATGGACCGGACACCTCTCCACATCTGCCGCAATTAGCTTCTTTGGTTTCATTGCTCCTCTCCTCGTGGAACACCATCGGGTGCTTGTGCCCAAAGTTCCGAGACCCCATCTCTAACTCTCTATTTTTCTCTCTTTCTGTTTCAACTCTAAATGAGATTGTGTGTTGAAGTTTACCATGGTTTTCCTACGGTTTTCTATACAACTTCTTGAAAATATGGTAAAGAATATACACTCTTCCTTGTTTTCCGTCATTTTACCACCCTACAAATGCAATTACTCGAACTCAAAACTTCTAAAAAGAATAAAACTCTCTTTAACTAAAGACACTTAATGATTCAGATTCCTCTTAATTTTAACGACAAGGAAAATTGAGTCTTCTTAACAAACATAACAATATTACTAATGTATTATAGCAAATTAAATTTAAAGTTGATTCTCTTATTCTTTGAGAGAGCGATAAAATGACGTGGAGATTATTTAAGTTATAAACTTTACGTTCTATTTAGAAAAACAAAATCAATACCTTACGTTATATTGAGTTGCAAAGTTTAGAATATGTGGCATTTGTAATTGTTCTAGTTTCTTTCAAGTATTAATCGACAATCTTATGGCCTCCGATCAATTTTACTCTACTAGCAAAATTAATTTTAGGCAAAAAGCATCAAAATTCATAAAAAAAATAATCAACGTGGACTTCGTACTATATCTTATTTCAATGTGACCCTCTAACTTAAAAAATATACCCAATGTGAATCTTTGACCAACGTTTTTCGTCGTTAACCGTTACAGTATTGGCATGTCATTTCACGGTGTTGACCTAGAGGTCCACGATGCTTATGTGACATGTCATCCCCACGCTAATTTGTCATCCTCGACTGCCATGTAAGCACCGCAAACTATAACATCAGCACCATAACGGTCAAAGATGAAAAAACGTTGGTCAAAGAGTCACATTGGATTTATTTTCTGAGTTGAGAGAAAATAATACGTAGGCCGTATTGGTTTTATAATAATTATTTCACTAACATTCTAAATTCCTAATTTCTTAAATTTTACCACCATAACATTCTAATTTCTTAATACATATTTAATGCCCTAATAGATGGCCGCTATCACTAGCGCATAATACATATTTAACGCCCTATTACCAAAATTTGGTGGCTACTACTCTGCCCAAAATGAATAATATCATTGAAACTTGTATTTTGCCTACCTCGAATTCCGAGATCCTTTCGGCATGAGTTTATCTCATTCTGGTGCCATCCATCGTTTACAAAACCGGACACCAGTGGCCGGCTTGCTCAGCCAAGTACCGTCGTAGGTGAGCACAGCATAAGTAGCTCCAATTAAAAGAAAAAGCAAAAGTATTGCAGAATGCTCTCTCAACAAGGTAATTAAGATACAGAATGATCACGTGATGACTCTTCCGTCTCCATCTCGGTTTCACTTCTAACTCTTTTATAGAACAACAGATAAGCGGCTGAAGTCTTGATGTCGGATTCATCGACGGGAGAAACATGATTATCATCAAAATGATACCATCTATTTTCTTCAATCAACTAGGAAAGTCGAAAAATAAAAAACTAGATATCATTCAAGCTAAGAACTCGTATTTGAGATTATGTATATGCTGCATGCTGCATAAATTATAGACTTTACCTTAGCATATGCAGTGTAGTGGCCGCCGCCTAGGCCACCATAATGGTTGCTGATGGCGTATAGCTCGTATTTATAAGACTGCTCATCTTTGTTCATGACATGTTGACTCAAATCAAGATTGTGAATGGGGAAATTCACAGAAGTGTCGATCTTGTTTTTTAGGTATCGGCCATAAGTGAACCGTTTCAAGTGGAAAACAATAATCTCTGGTAGCATCCACAAGTCTAGCTTTTTTACAGCTTGCCTGTGTTCCTTGCAACGAGGACAATACCTGTATTTATCATTTTGGTCACACCATTAAGGCATCGATACTGTTTACGAGGAAACGAGGAGACAGTCCACGACTTTGTTATCTCAAATCCATTTAAACATGTTTAAAGCACTTACCACATGTCATCAGGCCCTAGTGGTTCTTCCACCAAGAAAGCATCCAAACATGAAGATAGTGATATGGCTTCTTGCCGGGTCTTTTTAGCAGCAAACCCTGCTTTATGAACTTCAGGGAGGTCTTTCAAGTAGCTGGCATCATATAGCTTCTGTACTTTGTCAGTCCAATCCAGCACAACCCTTAAGATTTTCCCAAAGATTTTCCCAGATTCAAAGAGGGTATCCTTCTTAAGAGGCTTGAAGGTCGTAATCTTGTCATCAGTCAAATGGAGTCGGAGTGATAAGTCTGTGCTCAACATGCGCTCAAATTCTGCATTTTCAACTGAGTGAGCATCAGAACTGCTGCATGGTTCATCGAGACCATCTGAGAGGAAGTCATTCTCTTTGCCTATATGAGATTTGGCCGAAGAATACATTCTTTTGAAAGGTGACAATATTTCAGAAACAGTGGTTTTGATATCAGCTCCGCTTATATGGTCTCCTTCCAAATAAGTAATCAGTGGAGTACCGAAAAGCTCCTTTCCACTTTTATGATAATCTGATGTGGATCTGGAAAGCCCAATATTTTAGTTCAAAATCTTAATAAAAGAAGACGAAAACAGCTTATTTATTCAATAAATTCATCGCTCTCCCCCTCCCCCAGCTTATTAAGTAAATCGATTCACCTTATGCCATAGATCTTAAAATAACAAGTCCTGCAAAATTGATTCACCCTTCCAGATTTTCTTAATCAAATTCATATCATGTGGAGTGAACAGTCAATGGATGAACTGCATGACACAGAAAATGACAATGATAGATGAAACCATAGATCCCTAGTTTCCCAAAATATCAAAGTGCCTACAGATGGTAAATCAAATTAAAACAACATATTTGCTCGACAGAACCCAATAGCTACTAGAGAGAAGTAAACTTACTTTTCCTGCCATCGATGAAAAATTACTAGCTTAGTTTTCTCCATCCCCGTTTTCTGATATCGGAAGGCCACAATATGTTCATCATCCTTTATCGAAACCAATGGCTCCAAGGGCACCTCCAAATATCGGCAAATCCTGTTTTCATAGACCTGATATAGAATAATGAATACATCAGCCAATCAAGGTAACCTATAACTGAAACAGCTAAAAAAGAAATTAAGAATCAATTCGAGAATTCTTTACCTCCGCAAGTAGAAGGTTCTCATCAGTCTTCAAGCAACAAGCAGTACGCAAAACCAGAAGGAGATCTTTGCAGAAACCATTTTTCAGCACAGAGACAGTATATCGCATTGGGAGACCACTTCCATCACTATAAAACACTGTCACTGTCATTGTCCTAGGGATGGTGGAAGGTAGTGGCAACGAAAGATACATGAAGGGGTCAAAAGTAATTGAAATTTTGCTGCAAACTGGGCAAACCAGTGTCGACTTATATTGGCCCTGAGAAGCAAGAGCATTATAAAAAATATTCCAAATGTTAATGGCATGGGAGAAAATCATCCTACATTTCCGTGCTCAGAAACTTGTAGCAGAAAATATTGACATGAAAGTTGAGCAAAAACAAATAGACAAGGAAGTACAGCAAAGCACTACGCAACTATAGACTGAAATGCCCAAATCTTAAAGAATGCAAACAAAAGTCAATCCTAATAATGCTAAAAAATTGGAATTGATTATCAATCTGCTAAGAGTGGCACCGAGAACAAATCATAGATGAGTAATTGTATTTGCAAGGTAATAAAAGTATAAAACCCTGATATGACCCTAGCTTTCTGACATAACTTTAAGATTGATACAATATGCAGCTCTAACTCAAAATTTAGATCAATAAGAAAATTTCTCACTTGACAAACATCAACAATAATTGAGTCATTTCGAGCCTTGTGATTTTTCCAAGACTCTGCTGCAACTTCCTCATCAGGACGATCGTCTGCTTCCTTCATTTCAATATAAGGTTTCTGTTTGACACGATTCAAATCTTCATGCAGCCCATCTAGTAAGAAAGCCAAAAGTTCCTAAAGAAAAGATACTCCATTTAGAAGAAAAAAACATAAATCTCATAAAAATAGCATATTTATCCCTTAAAAGTGATGAGTATTATAGCATTTAAACAACATTGGAAGCCATTCCTAAATTGCTTTTAAATCATAATTCAAAAGATCTGCACCAAGCCTTTAGAATGGGAAATCATGTCACACTAAAGCTTAGGATCTTTAAACATGCATTACTGATTACACTACTAGAAAAGTAGTGAAGGCTGAAATGTCTTTGGTCCTGCATGCAGCACCATCACCAGAAACTTGACAACATACAGCATTTTGCTAAACGATAATACAATCATTGACTGACATGCCTTCTTCCTAGGGGTAATTTAAATGCACCAAAATTTTAATTTTAAGACAACTAAGCATCCAATTTGTATTTCTTTTTTTCTAATAACATTCAGCACTTTTGAAATAAATATTTTTGCAATGAACATAATCTAATAACAAAATAACCACTGATCTATACAAGTTACCAATTGCTGATGTTGCAGAAGTTCATGTATTAAAAAGGAAAAATGAAACTCACTTGAGAATCATGCTGGTTATAACCACTAAATTGTGGTGCAAACCGTGCAAGTTTTCCCTTAAATACACGTGGAGCAATTGATGTTTGCCCTGAGGACCATAATTTCCGTAATAACTCACCAAAAGCAAGTGCTAGCTCCCCCTGCACGGGAACAACTTAGGTTAGAGAGTTAGTGAAGTGCTCAAGAAAAGGTATGAAAATGGTCCAAATGGATAATTCCCGGAAAACTAAAAAAAACAAAACGGTTGATAGCATCACAGCTTACTTGCATTCCCAAAGGATTTTGTATGTTGATCTCATCACTGTAGTCTTTCAAGAAATACTCAACAAGAGGTGGTGTGTGCACTAAACATTGAAGAGCACTATTCATAAAACAAGTATTTCCTAGGTTTTGCAACCCAGTCAAACCCCTCCCCTCTCCTTTCCTAACAGAGTTATAGGCATCAAAACTATCACCTATATCCGTTAATCCTGAGCCTAAAGAACTTCCTGGATACAGATTTGATTTGTAACCAGAGGAGTGACAATTCGACAAGGCTGGCCCCCCAGCAATCGTAAAGGATGATCTTGAAGGTTCCGTGGAAACCAAAGCTAGTTCATTTCCCGTAGAATCCATCCCAAATCTTGCAGACTGACGTCCATCAACTTGCTCCAAAAGAATCTGTAAAGTTTCATCAAACATGCAGATAAAATAAAACCAAATAGAAATGGAAATAGCAAAGGCAAAACGAAAAGGTACTCACATCTTGATCCATATGCAAGTTTGATTCCTCTAGGGTTTTATTTGAAGCAAACAGCTGTGCATGCTTTCTCTTGTTGAAGTAATCCCAAATGTGAACCTAGCAATATATAATGAACAAAAACATATAATGAACAAAACATGTAATGAAGTTGACATAAAGCATACAAATCTTCTTCTAAAACAATTATATTTTAATATATATGTTTAAAGGAAAAAAGAAACAGCTATTCCCACCTTATTCTGTTCTATTCCCCTAAGTGCACAGGCCTTCTGGAAGAGCTCAGATACTAAAGCCTAAACAAGTAATCCAACCAAAAGAACAGAAATGAATGAAAAGGTAAGTTAGAACCGGCATGGTCTACAATAAAAAGGAAAATTTCAAGGACATAAAAGACTTGAAAGCAAAACTTATAAACCAAAAGTATTTTCCAAATCACTTTAGAAAATGGATGCAACTTGAAGCCTGTGTTATCTTAATTTTTTTTTTGTCACTGTTAGTTTCCATTTTGCTGAACAATAAAACACAACAAATGGACAATTCCTCGAGTTGGGCAGATTACAAGCTATACCTTTCTGCTTAACAATATAACTGACTGACTTTCATCCCTGGAATCTATCAAGTTAAGACAAAGTGGGTAAACCTCCACATCAAAATTTCTGTGATAAACACCCTGCAAAATCATCTTTCTTGGCAATGCTGGCCCGCCTTTATACCTAAAATGATAGTACGACACATAAAAAACAGAAACAAATTTTACCTGCTATCTTACTGTACAACAGGCACATGGCATACAATCAATTTGATTTTGCTAATTGCTTTAACTGGGAAGGAAATATTAATAAATCTTCAGAGAGAAAAAGTGTCCGCATATTATTTGTAAGTTTCTCTCTTTTACTAATATAAACTAGTGAATCACAATAGATCTTCAAGTTGTTTAATAACTAAGCAAACTATCTAAATGGACAAAGCATATACCATATACATTCAATTTATCAATGGGAAAACAGCCGGAGGTAAAGCATTACCATTCGTGAAGCTTTTCCCAAACTTTTTGAGGCACCAAAACATAATCCTGCCCTTCCATCAACGTTCTGCGAAGCTGTAGCTCATCTTCCTTGCAATCGCAACCGCTTCCACTTTGAACAATATCAGAGTTATCGATAGGACCAGGCATTTCCGCCACCATCGAAGAATCCATATCCGAATGTTGAGAATCAGAAGAATGGTTCAAATTTCCACCAGCGTCTATCCCGACATACCTCTCCCACCTTCGAAACCACCTACAAAAAAGGAAAACCTAGGTTATTCAAGTCCAATTTTAATTGAATATTGACAAAGAATTTACAGATTCCAACATAAAATAAACTCTCCTGAGAGATTTATCCAAAGAACAGCCAGCGAATAGAAATGATTTTAAATTAAATTCAAAACGGACCTGCTAGAAACAACGAAATACAAGTTGCCTTCCTTCAAATAACGCTCGGATTCGTTTTTCAATTCGGTAACGATCCTTTTTTCTTCTTCGGGCGTGCACGGCAAGCAACTTACACCGTCCTCCATCGTGAATCCAGAATCCTGAATCGTCATGATCGATGAAATTCCCGTTCCTCAAAATTCAAACGTATTCGGATCAAAAACGAAGCCAATACTCGCTTGATGTGGTCGATGAGAAAATGTGGGGGATTTTGATTGAACCCTAAGCAACAGATCGGGCGAAGAGGGGGAGAGGAAAAAGAGCTCAAATTAAATTAAAATTACTCCTTTTTATATTTTTCTTCAACGAACATGTCGTCCTCAACTTTTTATATTGCCCCTCCTAATAATTCTCCTACACCATTTTTTGCCTAAAAAATAATTGGCTTAATACACAGTTTGGCCCTCAAGTATTGCTCAACTCCTACTGTGGCTCTTATAATTTCATATCGTCAACAATTTTGATCCTTTGTGTGACATAGTCAAAAAAATATGTAACTCTTTCATCAATTAATGAGTGACAAATGAAGCATCAAGTTATGAATACATTTTAGTTTAAGAGCTAAATTGAAAAATTAATGTAAAATATATGCATAAAAAAATTAAATTTTGACGAATTTTAAAATATTTCGATCACCGTGTTTCGTTGTGGTAAAACTTCTTAGACATATTTTTCACTTTAAATTTATCCTCCGCTATCTCTTAATCCTAATTTGTTATTAATTTTTTAGCAGAAAGGCATTAGAGGTTCCTATAGTGTTGTTGGGGGGTTTGGGGACGACATCCCCCTTATAAACAGTAATCATATCGTGGCGTTTGTATTATTATTTTTTTCAATGTGACCCTTCAACTCAGAAAATAAGTCTAACGTGACCTTTGACCAACGGTTTTCTTCGTTGACCGTTACGATGCTGACGTAGCAGTTTACGGTGCTAACATAGCAGTCCACAGTTTTGACATAGCAATCCACGATAATTGATAACGTTGATGGATAACATGAAAAATGTGCTAAATTGATAACTCAAACATGATAGATGAATTACCATGTTAGTATCGTAGACCGTCATGTCAACACTGTAACGGTCAAACAACGAAAAATGTTGGTCAAAGGGTTATATTGGATTTATTTTCTGAGTTTGAGGGCCACATTGAGAGAAAAATAATACGATGGTCACATTTGAGTTTTTTTCAGAAGCATCGGGACCTCTAATGCCTTTTTCACTTTTTTGTTTTTAAAAAAAATCCTTCTCAAAAACAAAATCAAAATATTATTTCTGAAAACAATTTAAATTGATTTAATAAAAGACGAAAGCAATATTATTTCTGAAGAAGTAGACAATATTAAAAGTTTGTAATGAACAAGAAAAGATTAGTACAAAATATTTTTAATATTTTTCTAATTTAGCTCTTAAAGTTTGTAAGATCTACACAACGTTTTTAATAATGTCAAAAAAAAAAAAGAACACGGCCATGAGAAACTTTTATAGGAGAAATTTCACCTCTGGTCTATTCAGCTTAAATACTATTTAAATAATAAAAGGTTTAATTCTAAAATAAGTGTTTAAATTATAGCGTTTTTCACGAATAGATGCCTAAACTATTTTTTGAATGATCCTGGTGTCTAACGTTACAAAAGTTACCACTTTAGGTACTCAGGTTGTGAATGACGTAAATTTCCTCCGTTAAGTGACACGTGTTATACTATGGTAATTTTGAAATTAATTTTTTTAAAATATTATAAATATTATTATATTTATAATAAATTCCCAAACCTGACCCTAACCCCCACCATTTTCGACCACGAAACACTGATGTCGAGTAGTCTCTGCCATCCTCTTAGTCATACGTTGTTGTAGTTCTCGTCGATTGGTCGTCAAAATTGCTTGGGATTGCGATTTTCATCCTAGGTTCGCGAGGTATAAAACGTTGATTTTTCGTCAATCGGTCACGATTTCATAGGGGTTTTGGTCACTGGGGGAGGTGAGATCGGGTGGAGCTTCGTCGACGGCAAAGGTCAGCGACCGACGTGGATTTAAGGGTTGAAATGAAGGTTTTTCAAGCTTATGGGTTATTTCAAAATTTAAATTATGAAATTTTAAATGAAAATTGTATAATTACTAGATTGTGACACATGTCACTTAGCAGAGGAAATTGTCGTCGTTAACGGCTCAAGAACCTAAAGTGGTAACGTTTGTAACGTTAGACACCACGATCATTCAAAAAAATAACCTTTATGACAGCGGAAGTTACAAAAACTCTTGGGTATTTTTCAAAAACTCTTCCTTTATGGCAGTAGTGGTGGTCTTCTCTGACTGCCACCATGTCATTTTTAGTTATATTTTATCGTATTTACTATAATAATACTCTTGGCATTTTTCTTGTAAAGGATATCATGGCTACCGGTGTTTTTGAACTCTCGATACAGGTTTTTAATTGGTATTCTTCTAGGTTTTTATTTTCCCTAAATACATAGTTATTGCTTTCTCGATGCATGGTTCCTCTGTTCGTTTATACAAGACGGTTCGTTGGTTATCGCATCTATGTTATGAATGGGATTGTTGTTAAGGGGATATCTCTTTTTCCGTTGGCCATTTTGGTTATTCTTCAAGTTTCTCTCCTTCATGTTTAATGCTCAGAGTCGTTAGTGTGTTCAGGTTTTGTACGTTATTGCTTCACTTGTTAATGGTTTTGTTTATAGGTTATCTCTAAGCGGTCATTGTTATATTTATTTTTTATAGTCTCTACTGTATTTGTCCACTCTGTCATTGGCATGACGTTTGTTGATACGACTTTCGATAAATGAAATTTCTCGGTTATCTTTAAAAAATAGTTTAAACTCCTATTTGTGAAAAATGCTACAGTTTGAACTCTGATTTTATATTTAAGTCATAATAAAAAAACTCAATTTAAATTTAAAAGATAAATTACAAACTATAGTTTTTTATAGAAAATTACTAGTTTTATTAAAAATAGAAAATATATCCAAAATTACAATGAAGATTTACGAGCATAACCGTAAACGTAAACTAAATTATAGTTAGGACATTTTTCTATAACCATTGATACAAAAATTAGCCGCCTAGATCACACAAGAACCATAAGAGGAAAAGGTTAAGAACCTAACAATGCTCGAACAAAATAAAGACACGAACAAATATGATTACATTGGCAAACGAATCACAAAATGGGATGAAACTACTAAAAGATCACCAACAAATCTCAAATCAGAGTCAAACGATATAAGAAAACTATCCACGAGTGCAAAACGCGTATCCAAATCAATATGAGGGTCCAAAGCAGGGAAGATCAACATAATAACAAACAAGCGCCATCTTGATCAGTTGTAGCGATGTTGAGTCTATCCTTGAGAAAAAAAATAAACGAAAACAACGTTCAAACGATCGAAAACTACCAAAAGGAAGAGATAAAGTGTCACAAAGACAGAGATAAACGTGTCATAAAGGAAGAGGTAAAACATGTAACAAAGACATAATTATTCATATTAAAAACTAAAAAAAGAAAAAGAAAAGACAAGTGACGATCAACAACAAGTGACGATTAACAATTACAAACTATAGTTGAATTTTAGTAAAACGGATAATTTTGATTTAATGTAATTTTATAAAATTACTAATATTATTATCTATGTGACATCATTATATTTACATATTACATGCACAATAATTATATTTATTTAATATAAAAATAAATCAATTCATTTATTATTTTTAAATAGATATACTTGAATCAATTTTTTTTATATAGAAAACTGTTAGTTTTTATTAAAAATAGGAAATATCCAGAATTACAATGAAGAATTAAAAGCATAATTGTAGACTTAAACTAAATATAATTAGGATATTATCTTATAACCATTGACACCGAAACTATCCGCCTAGATCACACAATGACCTAAGAAGTAAAAGATTAAAAAACCTAAACAAAATGTTTGAACAAAATAAATATACGAACAAATTTGGCTGCATCATCAAACAAACCACAAAAAGGGATAAAACTAGCCAAATAAGAGCAATCTTGATTAGTCGTGACAATGTCAAATCCAATCATAATAAAAAAGATAACCAAAAATAACGGTCAAACGGCTAAAAACTACCAAAAGAAATAAATAAACATACCATAAAGACAAAGATAAACGTGTAACGAAGACATAATTATTCTTATTAAAAAATTTAAAAAAATAAAGAGAAAATACAACTGACAATCGACAATCAGCATCAAAACCGGCATTGTCATCGGCTAAACAAAATCAAAGATTAAAAAATTTATTTGATCTATAAAAAATAACACAAATTATAAAGAAAACAAGAGAGAGAGACTAGGATTTAATTGGTTTAACAGTTCTATAATTGAATCAGTATTAAAATTACATTTAAACCACAAACAAATTTTTTATATGTATGATTGTATCAAATTGTAATTATAAAATTTATTAAGTGTTCATTTTTTTAGTACTCTTTGATTTTTGTTTAGCCGGCGGTGGCATCAATTTTATTGTTAGTTATTTGCTGTCGGTGACTATTATGTCTTTTATCTTTTTTGCTTGAGTCGTTTTAATTTTGAATAAGATTTTTCTTTCCTTGTGATATGATTTTTCTCTGTTTTTGTGGCACGTGTTTTCTCTGCTATTGTGACACGATCCTCATGGTTGTTGGTATGTTTTTCGCATACCTCTGTGGTTGTTTTGGTTTCTATTCTGATTAGTTAGTCGATGGTCACGTATAGTCAGATCTCTATTTTGGTAAAAGATTGTTTGTTGATGTAATCAGATTGTGTAGCGAAGCAGGCTGCCAGATTATTTGGTTCGCTCTTTACTCCCTACTCCTTTATCCTTTTTTTCAAGCGTCTCATTCGATAGAGACAATGAGTTTTTATGAAGGTTATTGGGTTTTAATGATTAATCGTCATTTTTAGAAGGTTTTAATTTTCTTCGTATCTTTATTTTTAATTTTTTTTCTTTTTTGTGAGTATTTTGGTGACTATTGTATATGGCAGTCCGCATGTTGCTTACAGGAATCAGCTTTGGGCATGTCTTGAGCAGCTTAATCCTGGTCCAAATTTTCCTTGGTTGTTAGGGGTGATTTCAACGCAATTCTTCGTTCGGAGGAGAGGAAAGGGGGTGTTGTAGGTCGTGTGGGGATTAGTAAGGGTTTTGGTTTGGTTGATTCTTGTGCTCTTCTTGATATTGGTTTCCATGGCCCTCCTTTTACTTGGTGTCGAGGTAAATTGCAACAAAGGCTAGATCGATGCCTTATCAATTCTTGTTGGTTGAGTACTTATCTCGATTCTTCTATCATACACCTGGATCGTCTTGGTTCGGACCATAGGCCAGTCTTGTTTCGCATGACCTGTTCTCGTACTAATCTTAGTCAAAAGCCTTTTACTTGGTGTCGAGGTAACTTGCAACAAAGGCTAGATCGATGCCTTGTCAATTCTTGTTGGTTGAGTGCTTATCCCGATTCTTCTATTTTTCACCTGGATCGTCTTGGTTCGGATCATAGGCCAGTCTTGTTTCGCATGACCTGTGCTCGTACTAATCTTAGTAAGGGTTTTGCTGGTTCGGACCATAGCGTGCTTCAGGATTGTTGGTCTTCAAATTTGGATTTCAGAGCAAATATATCCAACTTGCGGGAGAAGCTTGCTAATTGGAACAGTAATAGTTTTGGCACGATTGGTGCTCGGAAGAAAAGGCTTCTGGCAAGACAAAGGGGAATTGACCGGGCCTTGGGGCGTAGGCATTCAGATTTTTTATTGGAGCTGGAAAAGAAATTGAAGGCTGAGTTAAAGCAAGTACTTGAACGAGAAGAGAGTCTCTATATGCGGAAATCTTGATATGAGGCAGCCTATGGGGACCTCTTTGATTGTAATGGATCTGGAATGAAGTAAGCAATTCCATTGCAGCAAACTTACTAAAACTAAGAAAGATGTTGTTGGTTGTATGGTTAAGGTTAAGAACGAAAATGGATAAGAAAGGATGAAGAAAGGAAGGAATTAGGTTCCTGGAAATTTAGAATGTTGAAAGGTGGAAGATGAATGCTCGGAGAAGATGGCAATGGTGAAAGAGCAATTCTAGAAATTTGGTAAATAAACAAAGAACAAGGAAGAACCTATACTAAAAAGTATAAACCCGAACCTTACACGCTCAATGTTCAAAGGACTTGGACCCGTTAGATAGCAATCTAAGAACCCAAAGTTTCACAAGCTTGACACAACAAGATCAGACTTGAAATGTCAAGAAAATAGTTATAAGAAGAACCAACATTGAGAGAAAAACCTCACAATAATTTTTATTCATAAAATGTCTAACCTTTGCACTTACAAAATTACAAAATATATAGTTAAAAGAGAGATATGGAAGGCCATCACTTGTGGCTACAAATTAATATAATTTTGAATTTAAAACTCAAATGAAAAAACCACCATGTAACTCCCTTGTGTTGCTGCCCATTTGTGTGGCTGATTTTGAATGCATTTAACACATTTTGCATGTGTTAAATGAGTGGATAAGGAGGTTAAAACCGGCCATGCATTGGAGGGAAGGGTTGAGAATTCAAACAATATCACATGTGTTTTCAGTTTGAATTCAAATATGCCCAATGTTGAATTTCCACACATATGCACAATGTCACACATGTCATGCACTCTTGGATAGGTATATAATGCCCCACATGCTGCTCACATGCTTGTAGGACACTCTCCCACACGTAGGACACCTTTGAGTTGCTTCTGGACTTGTTAGCTTAAATTGAGCTAGTGGAGCTGAACGGAGCTAAGGTGAGCTGAATTTAGCTAGCTGAACGTGTAGTGAGTTTATTTGAGCTGAGATGAGCTGCATACACTCCTTTGAGCTTCAACCGAGCTAGGATTAGGACCTTAAGCTGGTGCCCTTTATTGTTCCTATATGAAAACATAATAACCTCCATCAAACTATGGCAAACTTATTGTAAACATACTATAAGCTGAAAATACCATGCAAACACACTTATGAGCTATAAAACTTATTAAAATATAAAGTAAGTAATATATATAAGCACACACTTATATATCTAATGAAACTAATGCAAATGCATATAATTACTTAATATAACTAAGGTGATGTATGTAACACATTGAAAAACTTAGTTTCTAAGGCATAAACATTATGTAATGATTATGCCTTAGAAACTTGTAAACACTTAAGAGAAAGAGCTTCCCTAAAATGATTTGCCTTAGAACGTGTGATAGGTCCTGTTGGTAGGACCTCCGGATCAGCTTCCTTTGCTGGCGTTGATGTACTCACATCAAATCTAGGGCTAATTGGATTACTATCAGAGACCGAAACACGAATTTCTACCATTCCTATGCTAGAATTCGCCATAATCGGAACACTATCTTATCTCTAAAACAAGCGGATGGTTCGTGGTGTTCGGATCAGGGTGAATTAGGTTGTATTGCAACTGATTTCGTTAAAAGTCTCTTTACTAGCTGTGGTGCCTATGGTTACACTTATAATATCCGGGGTTGATGACACACTTTAGGATATGGGGTGCCCGAGCGATATCCGACAGCTTATTATGAACTGTGTTTCGATGGGTACTACTCATGTTCAGTGGAATGGTGCTCTATTAGATGAGTTCAAGCCTACTAGGGGAATAAGGCAGGGTGACCCTCTCTGGCCTTACCCTTTTTGTTATGTATGGAGCGTTAGGCGCAAGCTATTAGGAAGGACGATAATTGGATCCCAATTACGCTTTCTCGTGGGGGCCCTCTCTCACTCGTCTGTTTTTCGCTGATGACTTGGTTCATTTTGCGGAAGCGTCGCTTGAGCAGTTAGATGTGTTTCAGCGTGTGTTAAATGATTTCTCCTTTAGTTCTGGTCATCGGGTAAGTCACGCCACTGATTGGGATCTCCTTTGTGGTTCGTTGGCGTGGTGCATTTGGATTAAGCGTAACATGTTTATCCTTTTCAGATGAAATAATGGTAAGCGGGAGTACTCTGGAAATGGCGCACAAGTTGTGGATGGACTCTAAACATGCTACTACATTGGAGAGGGTGGTTCGGCCACGTGCTACGGTGGTTCATAGACTATCAGCTAAATGGTGTCCCCCTACAGGATATTGGGTGAAGTTCAACACTGACGGTGTCCGTGATTTAAACTCGGGAGCTGCAACTTGTGGCGGGGTGTTACGCGATTCGAAGGGGGATGCTTCCAATGGGTTTAGTCCAATATGCACTACCTCCTCCGATGATACAACGACTGCTTGATGATGATTTGAGCTTGGCTGCTGCGAACTAGTCACTGTTTTCTTCCTTTGTATTAAAAAATAGAATTAATACCAAAATATACTACGTGAATAAATAAAAACATCAAGTACTTTTATAAGAAATAAAAAAATTAATAAATAAAATAAATGAGATGGATGTAGATTTGGGTATGACGGGTTTCAATCTGACTCAATTTTATAGGTTCATTTTTTTTAATTTGGGTTCGAGTCAATTTTATAGGATAATGTCAGGTCGGTTCAAGTTTATGATAAAAATCTGCAATCCAACATGAGATAATAATATAATTATTTCTTATATATTTAGATATATTTGCATAATTCTCCTCCTTTTGTTTTTTCAATTAGATCTCTATTTTACCTAATAAAAATGAATATATATATATATATATATATATATTGTGTCGTGTCCGATAGGGTGTAGATTTCATCCAGAAAAGAGATTATTCTCTTTTTTTTTTCTTTTTTAATAAATTTTAAATCTAATTTTAATTCTACTTAGACAAAGAGGAAAACTGACATTTTAAGGGAGCTAAGAGGATTGGTCTAGGGAGTCTAAATCCCATCACTTACAAAAATATAAGGGAACAAAAGTAAACAATTTAATTACCCAACTAAATATGTTTGTTCATTAATGAATTGATGTAAATTTTGATTCGAAATAATTGATTAATAGATCGAATATCATAGTTAAAAGAACTGGGTTTTGAAAGGTTCTTGACGAGCTTGTAAATTTAGGCCATCTTTTATCCATGTCCAAGTATTGTTCATAACTTCAACTTATGTACAATCCGACACAACAAATTACAAACGCAAAGCAATTCAACAAGGGGGAAAAAACAAAGTTTCTTCACTTGGATGAGGGTAGAATCCTTAACTGAGCTTTTTGACGCTCAAGCTTCGAACTCCAATGCATACTTTTCGATCCGATTGCTCGAACCACTCTGGGAAACTCCACAAACCCTTTGATCCCTCGTTTTATGTGAGGATTCTCGGCTTCTGCACATGCTTTTCGCCGGACCGCCGTCGACGAACACACCGCAGTAACACCGTTGGATGACTTTTCACCCAACACAGGTCTCATCGACACTTTGGGATCATCATCGGCCGGTTGTCTGCGTTTAATTTCCTCCAATTCATTCACCTTCTCCTCGAACAGAACCTTGGCGTCGGCCAGCTTCATTTGAACTCTTTCTTCCCTCAAAGCCTCGGCCATCTTCAGCATCTTTCTCTCCTCCTTGAACTCCCTTTTCATTCGATCAATCTCCGATTTCTTGAAGGTGACTTCGGCCGCAAGCTTTTCACAGACAGTCTCCAATGCTTCTTTTCCCCTTCGTTCCTCGGCTCCTTGTTTCGCCAGTTTCTTGTTCAGGGACTCCGCCTTTTTACGTGCCTTCCGCTCGTAGTCCACCTCGGCTTTCAAGTCGATGATCTGTGCTCGAGCAATGCCTAGCTGGGTATCCATTACTGGTTTCACTTGACGATGAAGATGCTTGGTACTCGTGCAGCACTGCTGCTTTTGATTATGATGATTAGAATAATAAAATGGATTTTCGTACCAGCTAATCTCGTTGCCGAGATTTCCAGCGCTTGTGTTCTTCATCATCTTTTTCATGTCTTCTTTCTTTCGTTGTATGTTCAGTTATTGCCTCTTCTTCTTTGCTGCTTTTGCCTTTTCTTCCTAATGGGGAGTCACTGTCAAAGAAAGCTTTCTGGGTAGGACCATGATTTATGCTGCTTTTACCATTTTAATGGAGTTCTTTAAAGAAAATGAAAAATTGTGGGATAAGTCCAATGAATTTGTATACATTTGGTGCCATAGGGTTGGGGCCTCCCTGGGCAAAAAATTTGCATATTTGACAATAATATGGTGGTGGGGTAAGTTATCTTCTCTTGGGGCATGATTTTATGGAAAACCAAAATTTTTAGGGTAAATTATGCATTTAGTATTTAAACTATTAGTTTTAGTTCGTTTTAATATCTAAATTCTCATTTTTTTAAAAAAAATATCAATATATATATATCGACACCGCATAATAATTACTACATCTACGCACTATAGATTGATGTATTAGTTTAACGTTGAAACACAACCCAAAATACACCATCATTAATCATACTATCAAGTTCAACACATAGCAATAGTACGATAAACTATTAAAGTATTAGAAATACTTTTTTAACAAATATAAAACAACTATTATACTTTCATAATCATTAATGGTTACTTTTAACGGTTCGGTTAATTAAAACCGTTTAATATTAATAATTTGACTAATTAACATATAATTAATAATTATACTGATTAATGATTAAGGTTAATGTTTTCGTATTATTTTGCACACCCTAACATTGGATGCCCCACATGAAAATTTCAATAACCAAAGGATCATATATGTATGTATGCATGTATCTCACGGCAATCATTCCACCACAACAGCCCCCACATGCATACATGATGATGCAAGTGATTGATTAGGGTTCCTTTACAGCAGCATCAACAAATTAATAAGTATAAAATAAAATAGAGACGGTAGCGGATCCAGAAATAATTTTCAGAGTGTAGTAGATCCACATTCAAAATAAAAGTTTTTTGTATAAGACAAGTACAAACAAAAATTTCATGGTGGGCACAGTGGTGAATCCAGAAATATTTTTTAGGGTAGGTATACATATGTTAGCAACATAAAATTTTTAAATGGGACGAGTACAAATAAAACTTCAGGGTGGGCACCATCGGTTAAATAAATAACTAATCAAAGAAAATTTAGATTTTATTGTGGGCACGAAAAATTTTAAGATGAACACAATCAATAAAATAAATAATTAATCGAAGAAAATTTAAATTTTAAAGTAGACACGTGTCCACCCTGACCAAACCATGGATCTGCCACTTGGTGGACACTTTCAATAAAACCATGGAAGGAATTAGTAAGGAGGTCGGAGGGGCAGTGAGCCCCCCAACCCAGCAATTTTTTTTACATTAAAACTTATATATACACTTTAAATATTTATGGGACAATTTTGAAATTGCCCCATAATTTTAGAAATGTTATACTTTGTCCCCTTACGGTGAAATCCTGGCTCCATCCCCGAATAAAACGGATAACAAACATAAAGAAATTTAAATTCCAAGGTGAACATGAACATTACATACATCTGCCACTGCATACAGATAGATATGGTAATTCATTGATCAAACATGCTTTCATTTGAGGGACACTATAAGCTATCATGGAGTTCACACAATGGTGTTTTTAATAATGCAAGGGGGTGTCCCCCTTTTAGGTTAACTCCAGGACCCATTGGCACTGTCATAAACCTTAACAACAAATTTCTTTTTACTTCGAAACACGACTTGGGTGTTGGTAATTTGGCACTAACATGACAAAAAAAAAACTTGTCCTCTTCTGCAGAATTTGCCAGGTTAGTTGAATCATTTACTTGTACTCAATGCGAAACTTGGAAGGCAGACAAGCTCACCATGTGCTAAAGTTCTGCAATTTTTTTTCTCCTGCAGATCAGAATTTAGAGATCTTGGATTCAGTTTTTGTGGTTCATACGGACCAACTTCTGACAAAAAGATTGTTAAAACGGATGGGTGAAATGGACCAACTTTTCTATTGTTAAGAATTACATGCGAGGGAAAAGTTCGGGTTGAAAAATATAAAGGATGCACGAACCAACTTATCTCAATAGTTAAAAGAATCGTTGTTGTTCTTAGAGGTCATGAGTTCAAGCACTAGCATTCATTGTCAAATGATTGTCAGTATTTATAACATATAATAATTTGTAATCACATTAGTTTAATTATAAAAAGGATAAAGTAATTTTTGGCCCCTAAACTTGACAACCTTCTTCAATTTAATCTTTGAATTTCTTTTGGTTCATATTATTCCTTGAACTTGGGGGTTTTTTTTTTTGACATTTTGATGACATGAAACTTAAGATCAACGGTATTTAAATGGTCAGTTCGGTTATTAACCAAACCAAATTAGTATTAATTGGATTATAATTAATCTAATTAAAAAATTAGTGACCAAGTTGAGAAAAGATGCTAAGTTCAAGGACTAAAGTTGCTTTATCCATAAAATAGGTCTAACTATTGTGTTAGTCTATTTGTTATACTACAATTTGTGGTTTGGTTTATCTACTTTAATTTGACATAATTTAGTCTATCTACTATAATATTATTAGTAGTTTGAATTGATAAATATTGTTAGTTGTTGTTCTTAAATTCATAATATAAAATATGATTTTAAAATAATTTTAAGTATTTAGTTGATATGTAAATTTATTATCGTTTAAACATGATTGACTGAATTTTCAATTGATCTTAATTGCATACTATTTTAATCCTAAGAATTTGCATGTCACACGAAATCAACAAAGTTGATATATATATATATATATATATATATATATATATATATATATATGGACAAGTTCTAATTACACGTAATCTCAATCTTTGATTTTTCTCATCCAACGATCATAAATAGTGTAAAACTAGAAGTTTTACACTATGTGTAAGTACATATATAATACAAAGTTTAAAAGTAAAATTGGGTTTAATTTTTTATTTTTAAATCAAATTATTTTTTCTCCTTTTACAATTATTTTTAAAAGATTATGTATGAATTTAAAATATAATTATATTACAAATTTATTTAGAGAGCCCAAAGTCACCAAAATAAATTAAATCATAAAACAAATTTATAATTCGAATCTTATTTATTTTTTTAAAATTATTTCTCATTTATTTTAAATATATAATCATTTAAAAATAATTATGAATAAAATTAATTTAATTTAAAAATATTAAGCTTGATTTTATTTTTAAATCTTGAATTAACTATAATTTAATATATATATATATATTAAATATAATTAATTTATTAGGTTTTTATTATTTTTTTATGTCATAATTTAATATATATATATATATATATATATATATATATATATATATAATATTGTACAAAGTAGAAACTAACATTGGATTTAACCTTTGGTAGAGGTAAACACTCCTACACTTGTGGTACTTGGTTTATTTCTCCAAGGTAGAAAAAAAATTCCAATTAGGTGATGGTACATGTCATTGATGAAATGTGTCAAAATAATTGGTTTACATGTTACACCTATTGATTGGATGGTTAGATTTCTGAATTAAAATAAAACTTGGAGTAAAATGATAGAATGTGTGAGTATTGATCAATAAATGTATAATTATATCAATTTTATTAACTATTATGTTAATTCTTCCGTTAAATATTAACAACACGTGACTTGATTGAAATCAATTAAATAGTTATGTGGTCATATCTGAAAAAATGATGGTCATATCGACACCACTCTCATAGTTAGATGGTCATGTGAGTAGTTTTTTTATTAAACTAAAGTGATTACAAAGTAGTGTATGTTCTAAATAATCTCAATTATTTAATAATGAACACTCAATCACCTGCTACAGTCGCTGGTGCTAGAACTCGTGACCCCTAAGAACAACAACGATACCTTTAACCACTGAGATAAGTTAGTTCGTGCATCATGTGAGTAGTTTACCTTAACAATATAATATTATTTATAATATATTTTAATTTTATAATTATGAGATTATTAAAAATATTTAAATGATGTATGCTTTAATTTTATTAATCAAATTGTTTAACTATTTAAATGATGTCAATTAAACCATTTATCGTTAAGTTAATGCGACAATTAATAAATTTTAGGGTAAATTACTTAGTGATCATTTAATTATATGGTTGGTATCGATATGACCACTGTACTTTAAATTTTTGGTTACATGATCAGGGACTCAGCCCCTGTTAAAATTTGTATATTCGATATAATTTTGGTTTAATAGTATTTTGGTTTATGTAAAAATAAATATTTAAATTTAAAAAAATATAAAAATTTATTAAATATTTAATTAAATAGTGGTCGAACTAAAGAATGATAAGTATGTGTTCTCAAATTTTTAGTCTAATTACAATTTAGGTCATTGTAAGTTTAAATATTAGACAAATTAGAAGTTGTCTTGTGAATTTTGAGTTTCTATTATAAATTTAAGGTAAATGCAAGGTTGCATATGTACAAAGACTTTCAACTATTTGACAATGAAAGCTCATACCCCTACATACGCAGTGCTTGAACTCGAGACCTCAAGGATAACAACAATCCCCTTAATCACTAAGGTCACTTGTTCATGCTAAATTTTGAGTTTAAATACCTAATAAGTCTTTATATTTTTCTTAAATATTCTAATATTTCTGCCCCTGTCAATATTTAATTTTGGTTCTGTCCCTGTACATGACCACATATATGTTTAAGTGGTTTCAATGTAGTCACTTGTCGTTAAAAACAAACAGTGTAGCTGATGTGAGCTTCAGACTCGTCGTTAATCAATAACAACAACATCAACTACGTCGTTTGTTTTTAACGGCGGGCGGCTTGATTGAAACTATTTAATTATTTATGTGATCATATTATCAAAATTGAAAGTATAGTGGTTATATCGATAGTGGCCACTTGAATAGTTTACCCTAAATTTTATATAATTACACATTTGATTACATATTCTATTAATTTAATATTTTTTAAATTAATAAATTTAATCCTCTAATCATAGATACGAAGATTATTCAGC